TGGGAGAAATACAGATGTGAAGGGAAAGGGTCCACAAAAGTCACAGGAAAATCCATTCAAAACTGGAAGGGGCCATTAAATCAGGAGATCCAGTTTCAGAGTCTTATAAGAGATGCTGACATCACTGTGTTAGGAATTCAAATGCCACTTTGGGCTTAAAGCACAATTTTAACAGCTCAAATCCAAACTATCTGCTGTGAAAAACATAGGTAAAAGAGTCATAAATTATTTTAGCTTTGCACACTTCTTGCTTTGCCCCAATTTCTAGGGAGCAAGCATTCTACAGAACCAAAAAGGCAAACCTGACTTCCTCAAGACCCTGGGAGAAACCACTTAAAACTTGAATGAAGGTTAAATACTGAGCTCATGAGGTGGAACAGGGTAGTTAAACGTAGCAGAAATCTGTATAGTCCTGAATTAATGTGATATTATGTTTACAATTTCATCTCTCAAGAAGCAAAAGAGGTCTAATTAAACCAATTTTCGACAAGGATTTGCATGCCCTGGCCCATGGCAAAAGAAGTTATTGAGTTATTGTTGTTTATTCAAGGAAAAGACAAGCTAAATGACTCTGTAAAAAGAAATAGGTTGGCAGAATCTATTAGTTTTTCTCTGCCTGCTAATTAAACCTGAATCTGGTCAGCAGAGGAGTATTGTAACTACCATTCTGAAAAGGAATGTCCTGAAAGTAAGGATCCTCACCCTCCTCCAAAGAATCCCATACTCCTGCTTCCAAGGGGCCTCTGGAGTCCTCCAAAACAGGCGGAACCACCACTGCCCTCTTTCTACTTCTCTTCAAATGGCTAACCTACCTCTGGGAGACACCACCAGCTGTGCCAGGCCTTACCTGCTCGATTTTCCAGTTCTGCTACCAAATCACAGCCAAGCCCATTTACCCAGCCCCATGCCCCCAGCCAGACAGCTGCATTCAGTTGCAAAAAAAAAGCTCAGACTGGTGGAACTTGTTTTCTGGCTATTGTTCAACAAGGCAATTGTTTCCCGTGAAACCTCAGGGCCCAAGCAGAACTAGTGTGGATGAGTGAGCAAACCAGACACAGGCTTAGGATCCACTCCCCCCTTCCTCCCTCCCCTCCCCCAGAGAAAAAGGAAGGTTTGGCTACCAGCATTTCCATCAAACAGGTATGTTAACTATTTCTCCCCCAGATGACTTGCTCAGAGCATCTTCTCCTTTAACTGCAGCTGGAATGTATAAAGGAACTCTACCTTAAAAAGGGAGGGGGTGGTGGTGGTAGGACCCCTGTAGAGTCCTTTCTTTCTTAGCCAGAAAGGGGAATGATAATACCCATCTTTAATTGAAATGGGAAGTCCTGAAAGACATTATGCTAATTTCACTACATATATTGTTTAATTTAATCCTCATAACTCTTTGATATAAACAATAACCGATGTAGCCTGCTACCTTTATGGCTAACACAGTTGTTATTTAGTATGCTTCCTCGCAGATATCATGAGATAATACTAAAGCTATACTCAGATTAAAGAAGAAATTTAGAGTTTGAGAAAATAGGCTCAGCGTAAAAAGAAGAAATGTAGAAGCAGATCCAATCACCTTGCTTGTTTAATTTAGACACTATCCAGTATATTAGAAGGACTTCAAAACTTTCCACATCAAAAAAGACATAGTTACTTGAATTTAAAAATACAAGTGGGCTGGGGATGTAGCTCAGAGGTAGACTACTTGCTTAGCATGGCAGAGACCCTACAATCCCTGGCACTGATGGAAGTATGGAAGGAAAGAAAGAAGGAAGGGAGGGAGGGAGGAAGGGAGGGAGAAAGGAAAGAAGGGGGGGGGGGAGAAAAGGCCCATGCAATACAAAGAAAAACAACAAAAAACAAAAAGATAAATTACACACACATATGGCAGGTTACCTCTCTCTAGGTTCCTCCACTGGAACCATCACATATGAATGGCAGTTCCCATGCAAAAAAATTCGAACATGAATGTGAATTCATGCAAATGCATGCAGACTTTAGGCACCAAAGTCTCCAAGTTAGTTTCATCATCTAATAGTGTGCCAGCAGGGGTGCAGGCAACCCAAAATGCCAAATACAGTAAAATAGATTCTGTGTTTGAATCCAGGCTCTCTATTTACCTTGTCAGAGCCTCTTCCCTTCCAAGAGACCTAGTTTTCCTCCTGTGTGTTAATAATACCCATTTCTCATAAGCCTTTTGCAGGAACAAAGCAGACATGTGTATACCAAGCTTGAGGCATATCAGGGAGATCCAGTGCATGTCAGCAGCAGCCCAGATGCAGGGAACCTGCCAAGACTGCAGGAGGGAGCTTCAGACCTACATTATAAAAATGACGAGAAAGCCTAATGCAAGAATGCACTTCCTTCTCTTGCTATAAAATGGTCAGTGTCTCAGGGGAAAGGCAGTTCTATAGATGGTGCCAGGTGCAAGGCCAATCATTTGGGATGGAGAGAGGGAAACCTGAACCCCATACTGGGAGCTCCAAGGGGATTTGGCAGTGATCAGACGGCCTCAGGCTTGAGTTTCACCCCACAGCACCTTTGTCCCATTTTAGTAACTCATTCCTTGAACAAGTAGGTGGTCCCCTGAGTGAGCGTGAAATTCTCCCCTTTGGTTTTCAGGGGCTTGATCTGGTTAGAAATCCCAGTGCTTTGGTCCTGATGCCTTAGACCTTCATTGTTACAATAGGCACCAGCGTGTCTGCTGACCTCAGCTACACAAAGCCTTCTCTCCTCAGAGGCTCCTCCAGAGAAGGCTGCTCAAGCTGGGGCCAATGCCGGCCAGTTTTTGCCAAGGATCTCAGCAAACCCATCCTAATTTTCAGTTTCTCTTAAACTTCCACAGATTTCAGCCTATTATAACTGATGGAAACAACAGTGAATACTAACACACGATGAAGAGTTTTAATGATGGGTTCCAGGCACTAAGATAAGCCCTTTATATACATTCTCACACAGATGCCTCTCTCTCTCTCCCTCCATCACCTTATCAGGCACAAGCTCTTAATGTACCCTTTTTATAGATGTATAAATTATGGGGTAACCTGCCTGAGATACCTGAGCTAATAAATGAAGCTTGATTTGAATCCAGATCTGCCTGATTCTGAAACTCAGACGTTCCTAATACCAACTCAATGTAATGAAGAGTAAAGAAGCTTTTACACAGATTAAGTCATATAAGAACTCAGAACTCCCACTTGCAAAACAAGCTCAGGACACCTTCATACAATCAAGTTATTTTAAAACATACTTAAGTGATTTTTTTTTAAGGGGGTGAGGGATGAATCCCAGAGATGCCATTGCCTAGATGCCTTAAGTCTAGGTAGGTCGATGGACTATAGAGTCCTAACACCTTTGTAAGCTTTCCCACCCTCAACACACACACACACACACACACACACACACACACTGTACATCTTAGGGACCCCAGAAGCCAAATGCATAAGCTTTCCCACCCTCAGTACACACACACACACACACACACACACACACACACACACACACACACACACGCACACACACACACACACACACGCTGTACATCTTAGGGACCCCAGAAACCAAATGCATAAAAGAACAGTAATCCTGAGATAGCCAAGGACTTTCCCTTAAACTATTCAAAGGTTAAGCACTGGGAACTCAGGTCAAGAAACCACCCTTCAAAAACACCTCACAGTCCAAGGCAAGCACAATCCAATTAGGTACACATGTGAACAGCTGGTGCCAATAGCCTAGGTCAGCATTAGCATACCAGTGTACATCTTCTCCCTCCAGGACTCAGTAAATTCAGCTACTTGACAGACACAGCCCTAGCAGTCAAGACCAGCTACAAGGTCATTAGACTTCTCAGATTTGACTTCCATTTGGGAAGCAACCCTTATAAACCAAGTCTAATCAGACCCATCAGCAGGTCTCAAGGATTCCAGCAAAGTCCTACTGCCAAAGCCAGGCCGCATCTTAACAAAGGGTGCTCAGCCTTCCTGGAAATAAAACCTGAGTAGACCAGGTAGGATACCTGCAAACATTATGTGTACTTTGTGAATCCTCTACAACCAGATGTACCCTTTCTCCAGCTTAACCTGGAGGTAAACTTGCAAATGAAACTACCACGCTCATCTTGGAGGACAGGATGGTGGGGTGAACCAGGTTCAAATCTCAGCTTTGCCTCGTACTAGCTTTGTGACTTTGCAAGGGTACTTGACTTCTTTTTGTTCCCATTGTTTCATCTCAAACATCAATTGTGCAAGTTTTGCAACTAAAGCTGAAGGTAAGACACACGTGGTAGGTGGCAATGAACATTATTTTCTTCTCTGGTTGACTAGTTTTAAAACACAAATGCTATGAAGGTTCTAACAAAGCAAGAAAAAAGTCTTTATACTTAAAACATCCTAGGCCGTTTCTCCAGGAGTCTAATTTCAGGGGTGAGGGAGGAACCCTCACCCAGTAATTTGCTGTATTAGTAAACACAACCACAGGCTCACTAGGCTCCTCAGATTCCAAACAAAACCTCCAACTGTAAGTCATTTTAATCAGGGCCTTTGGAGTCACTAGCAGACCTTGCCTGGGGCCACACTGGCTTTTTCCAGTTCACCCCCCCCCCCCCCACACACACACCCCAAGCTGAAACATCTCCCCTCCTCCACCACCCCACTCTTACCGCCCCCCCCCTCTCAGTTTTTAGTTGTTGGTTGATGTTTTTTATTTTAGACTCAGCACCTTAATTTGATAAGATGGGCTGGAAAATACAAGGTGGATCAAGTACATTTGGAAAATGCCCGACTACCTCTAAACCATCAAGGGTGGATGGGGGGGGCAGGTAGGAGGGAGACAAGGGTACTGAATCTTCTTCCCCTCTCTCCACCAGTCCACAGCGATTTGGGGGTGGGGGGGGGGCAGCTGCCCCACTGGCTGCCCGGCTACAGGTTTTTAATACCAGTCGCAGGGCAGCAAGGCAGTAAGAGACCCCATCTGCCTCAGGCCCGGGGAAGTTGGGGAAATCGTCCTACCTGGTCAGGTTCCTAGGCCAGAGCATGGCACTACATTGCGGTCCCGGGAGCACACAGCGGACAAAGGAGCTGAATGAGCCTCTGGGGACGGCGACTCCTCCTGCGGCGGAGCCAGCACACGCCGGGCCAGGGAGTCCCGGGCACCCAGCAACTCGGCTACAGAAGAACCAGCTAGCAGAGGCTCACCCTTCCCCAGCCCAGCAAAGAAATTCGATCTGCCAACAAAATTAACCTTTGAAGTGCTGAAGGACTGAGAGGTCAGCGCGGAGAGTGCTAGATCAAGTCAGCTGTGAAAAGTTTCAGCAAAGCCGAGCCTAACAGCGAACTCCAAGAGCAGTACCGTAAAGGACCGAGTAGAAGGGCCCTGCACCGTGTTCCCAAATCACAGCGGGTCAAAATGAAGAATACACAAGTGTGAGGGAAAAATTTTAATTCCCCATGTACTGTGCTGGGGGGTGGAGGGGGGTGAGAAACACTGAAGAAAGTCTTTCTGGCCCTATGTGTTACTTTTAATGACACCACCACTCATTGACCTTAACATTCCTTAGCTCATTCCACTGACATCTAAGTGGAAAGCATTTGATTAAAATGATAAGCCTACAGAGAGAACTTATAACTCAATATAAAGGGAAATGATACCTGTTTACACTCTTAACTAGGATATACATTATTTCCGGTGATTTCAGTGTGGATTCAGTGCCAATGAAAATCTGCATTACAACAGCAATACTCATAAGCCACTACCTTGGAAATGAACTTTACAACTGGGGGGGGGGGGGAATGGGACAGGAGTTGAGGGGAGGGAAAGTGGGAGAAAACAAGGGTGGGGGTAACACTGACAAGAAATTACCCATAACCTTACTTATGTAACGGTAACCCCTCTGTGCATCACTTTTACAATAAAATATTTCTTTTTTTTTTTTTTTGTCGGTCGTGGGGCTTGAACTCTGGGCCTGGGCGCTGTCCCTCAGCTCTTCAGCTCAAGGCGAGCGCTCTACCACTTGAGCTACAGCGCCACTTCCGGTTTTCTGGTGGTTTATTGGAGATAGGAGTCTCAGGGTCTTTCCTGCCCAGGCTGACTTTGAACCGCGATCCTCAGATCTCAGCCTCCTGAGTAGCTAGGTTTACAGGCGTGAGCCACCAGCGCCCGGCTTACAATAAAATATTTCTTAAAAAAAAAAAAAAGAAAATCTGCTCTAATTTCTCATGCTTATTTCAAAAGAAAATGAATCTGCCTATATACATGGCTATATTAAGCATCATGGTACAGAGGCTGGAAGGGGAGACTAGAAGAAGCAGCTTCTGGGCTGGGAAGGGGTTCCCCTGGGATAATCTCTACTAAAACCTGTAACCAAAGTGTTCAAAAGGTATGATGTACAGAGATTCTGGGAACAATAAACAACTGTGTCACTACAGAATAATTCAAAATAAAATTATGTTACAGCCATAGCTTTTATTTCAAAATGAAGGATGAACATACTCTATAACTCCTACTCCCTCTCCTTACCAGTTGGCTGTTGTAGCCCTGTATAAGGCTCTCTGCCCCTCCTCCCCCAAACCCCCTGCCCTTCCCACCCTTTGCCTGGCCTTCAGTGGGGTGGGCGTGAGAGGACTGTGGCCCTGAGAAGGGTGAGGACTGGAAGCAGAAACAGGCTGCAAGTGCATGTGTGGTCAGCATTTGCTTAGCAAACAAGCTTTTCAAAGGGGAATGGAGAGCCACTCCTCCCCCACCCAAGATGGAGGGAATAAAGGTTGGTTCAAAGAGAAAAGGAGTTTCTCAGGTGAATGAAAAAAACTAATACATCTAACAGCTGAGACTATAATGTTGAAGGAGACCCTACCAAAGTTAAACATTTATGTCTCACTGCCAGGGCCCTGGGTAAATTTATCTCTGCAACATTAACTAACAGATAATTTAGGAATAAGATGATGACTAGGCACATGCAGATATGTATGTACAAACATACACACATGCACACACACACAATTTCCAAGTTTCCTACACTTGTTCTTTAAGCAAAAATAACAGGTACAAATCCCGATTCACTATTAAGAAAACTAGGGTCTATTAATTTAATTGCATCATTCATTCATTCATTCAACTAGTGGACATTTACAAAGCACTTGTTACCTGGCAAGCACTGTTCTAAGTGCTGAGGATATAACAGTTAGCTAAATAAATACATCAGGTACTAATAGACTTTATATTTTAGTGGTAGAGCTATGAAGTAAATGAGACAAATGTGAATTGTATAATGTCAGAATAAATAATGTAAAGAAGAGGAGATGATATGTCTGGAGGCGCTGCTAGGGAAGGCCTTCCAAGAGCTTTGTTTGTTGCCCATACTGAGGCTTAAACTCAGGGCCTCACTCTCTTGCTCAGCCTTTTTTGTTTGTGGCTGCACATTACCCACTTGAGCTACACCTTTAGTTTAGCATCTTTGTGGGTTAATGGGAGACAGAATCTCTCCAACTTTTCTGCTTGGGCTGGCTTCAAACCTCAATCCTCAGTCAAAGGCTCAAACACAGGATACAATCTATATATTCAGTCCAAAAATGCATGGATTCAACAGCCTGGGAACCGAGGAAAGACCTGGAAGGTGTCAGGCCAGAGGGCAATGTTATAGGGAAGGTGGAGCCCAGAAGGTCATGGGGTAGCTTGGGTTTTAAACTTTATACTGGAATCTTAATGAGTGGAATTCCTTCTTTTTCATAAATGTTCATGTAAATTGGCTGAAACACTGAATAGATCACTCTGTTTATGCACAAGACACATTTGTCATAAGACAAAATACTTTTTTTTTTTTTTTTTTTTTGCTGGTCAATTTTTTTTTTTTTTATTGTAAAGCTACTATACAGAGGGTTACAGTTACATGAGTGAGGTTATGAGTACACTTCCTCTTGAACATTGTTACCCCCTCCATTGTTTTCCCCCTACCATCCCCTCCCTCCCTCCCTTCCCCGAGGTTCTTTTTTTTTTTTTTTTTGATTGTGATTACATGATTACATAATTTCAAAGTCACAAGTTCATTCTAACTTCCCTGGAGCAAATTGTCTACCACAGTCTGTAATATATAACAGTGTTCACATGTTATATACCATATTTGTGATCAGCAGCATGAGGATATTTAGTAGTGGTTCAACCAGATGAGCGGGAGTTCTTTGTTTCTTAAGTCCTGTTAGTTTTGTCGTATCACCTAACCTTTTGGATTTAGCATCCACTTATGAGGGAGACCATGTACCGTTTGTCTCTTCGTTCTTGGCTTACCTCGCTCAACATGATTCCTTCTAGCTCCATCCATTTCCCTGCAAATGCCATTATTTAAGACAAAATACTTTAAGGTAGCTTCAAGCATTTTTTCTGTGATTAAAGTAAGAATCATGTGTTTAATGTGCAAGGCGTGAAGCCATAAAATGCAAATTTAGTGAAGGCTTTTCCATTCTATTCAAGATAACAATAGATAACAATGTGACTAAGATCCAAGGTAGGCCAACCAACTTAAGACAGCAGATGTCCCTTGGCTCCTTTCAAAAGGGCAGTCTTCCTACTACAATTTCTGACCCTAATTTATTTAATGAATGAATGAATGATTTTTTCTACACTGCAGTTTTGAACTCAGCGCCTTACAAACCTGGTAGGTGGCTTTGAAATACAATCCTCAGATCTTAGCTGAGTAGCTAGAATTACAGGTATGAGCCATCTGTACCTAGCTGGCTTAGCCTGGCTTAAGCTGCAATCTACCTACTTTACCTTCCCATAGTTGATAGGAGTGCAGGCCTGGGCCAGGACATCTAGCTTCCCTCCATGGAAGATAGAGATGCAATTTTGTGGACTTTCTGCTCAGATTGTCCTGGAACTTCAACCCTCCCAATTTTAACCTCTCAAGTAGCTAGGAAACCAGCCAAATATCAATGACCTTCTATAATCCTTAGCACTTCCTTTCCTCCACAAGAACAATGTTATCAATGACTTTAGGGTTCCCAGATAGATGCTATTTCTTAAACCACAAAGTGCTGATCAACTCAACCAAGATAATGAAAAGTGAAAGTAAGAAATAGTCCATAAAAACAGAAAATAGAGGGCTGGGAAGGTGGCTCAGTGGTAGAGTGTTTGCATTGCATGCATGAGGCCCTGGGTTTGATTGCTCAGCACCATGTAAGCAGAAAAAGCCAGAAGGTTGTTGTGGCTCAAATGGTAGAGAGCTAGCCTTAAGCTGAAGCACCCAGGCCTTAAGCACCCAGGCCCAGAGTTCAGGCACCACAACCGACCAAAAAAAAAAAAAAGATAAAAAAGAAAAGCACTGAAATGAATCTAAAAAGACATTCTCAGGCTGAGAATGTGGCTTAGTGGTACACTGCTTGCCTAGCATGCATGAAGCCCTGGGTTTGTTCCTCAGTACCACATATACAGAAAAAGCCAGAAGTGGTGCTGTGGCTCAAGTGGTAGAGTGCTAGCCCTGAGCAAAAGAAGCTCAGAGACAGTGCCCAGGCCCTGAGTTCAAACCCTAGGACTGGCTAAATAAATAAATAATAAAAAGATGTTCTCTTGTTAAGAGATTTCGATCTTCATCCAGCACAATTAATTTCTCCTGCTTTACTGACTTTTTTCCCACTGACTCAGAAATATGTCATCTACCTCCTCAAATAAAACAAACTCTTTGACTCCATGGCCATAGTCTCTATGACTGTGGCAGACTCTGCCCCATAATATGGTAAAACAACTCAAAGGAGCTGTCAGTATTTCTTGTGTCCCGTTATCACTTCAATCCACTAGTCAGACTCTGGTCTCCACCCTTTCACTAAAGCCATTGTCTGCTTACTCTTAAGAACATCAACTTTCCCTTTCTTGCCAAAGCCAACCACCAGCTCTCTGTTCTGAACCTATCTATATGTTTTTTTCAGCAGTGGGTAGTCCCTGCTCCTTCCTCTTCGTTTCTCTTCTTGAGTTTCCACATCATCATCCATACTGGGTCTCTTCCTGCCTCCTGGCAGTGCCTCTTGATCTCCTCTATTCACCGACCTCCTCACTTCTCCACGTCTCTCTGATTGCATCCTAGTCCCTTTTTCTTCTCTACCCAGTCTTTTTCTAGGTGATCTCATCCATATTTTCAAGTGCTAGGTATAGACAGACAGCTTTTCAGTCTGTTATTTCTAGACAGCCCTTTTGGGTACTTAACCCATCTCAAGTCTATCCTTATACAAAAGCAATCCCTCCAACTAGCCATTTGTCTGCACAGCCACTCCTCAAAGATTCAGCCATTTTAACATAAAACTATCTGTTAGCTATCTTTACTCTCTTT